GTGTGATAATTGCTCAGAAAAATAACGGAATGATTATAATTTTGTGCTAAGTTGTGATCAAAATAATGTATTATCTGGTATTTTATGGGCCGTTTAGAATGTAAGATGGTAAAAATAGCACGACAAAACTCCCTCTGAAATGTGTACCCAGACTAGAAGCTTTATTAGAATTACTAATCATAATTATCATGCAATTGTTCTTAATCTTCAACTTGCTCTTCGACTGTAATCCTTAGTTCTAAATTTCTAGTTTTTCAAGTCCTGAGTAATGAGTTATAATCATATTTTTTATTTTTAAGGCTTGGATATGTCGTTCCTAGGAGATTATACATAGCTGTAAAGATGTAACGTCAGACACCGTCGTTTTTATGCTGGAAAATAACTTTACGTTAAAGAAAATTGAATACACATAATTTGCTAATAACAAAGTATGACTAAATTTATATGGTATTGAAAAAATTGTATTCAGAATAAAATGAATGCTGTGAGCCTCACCATTGCATTAATCAAGTATTTTTCACTTTCAGTTTACAGAAAGGCTCCACCCTATTATTCTACCACTCCAATTTCACGCAATTCCAGATCTGTGTCTATCCGTCTTATTGAAGGAACACGCGTTTTCCTCAACCACCACTGATAAACCGCTGTACTTCTCACAATATTTCCAACTCTCAGTACTAGAACTCTCATCATGTCTTTAACTGTATCATCAAGAATCAGAGGGTTCATAAAGGAGTTGATGGGAAGGATGATGATGGAGAACAAGCTGTACCAAGGAGTTGCATCAAGGACTTCCAGAGAGTGTAGCACACATATTATAATGAAGGGAACCCAGCAAAAGAAATCGCTGGTAATGATTATGGCGATCCTTCTATCCATCTTGTTGTCACGTCTCGAACCAGCCCGTGCGTTGCCCGACTTCTCTGTCGCTTTGTGAGACAATAGACTGATTATAAGATACGAGGCAGCAATGATAAAAAAGCAAGCAAAGTTCAAAGTTAAAATACTCCAAACGAAAAGCTTCTGTGGGTCATCTGTGTTGACAAAATACTTGAAGAGGCACACTCCGTCGTTCCCATAAAATCCGACCGTCTCGATCCTTTTAGTGTCCGTGTAGTCTTCATAGTCCAAATCACGAGAAAACATTTCTTTCACCATTTCTTTGATCATTTTCCAGCTCGAAGACGTTTCTTTCATTCTACCGTGATACGCTTCAAGGATTGCAAGGACCTTCTTTTTGTCAACAGTTCCTATGAATATCAGAAGGTCATCCGCAAACTTAACTCCATTAACAAAATAGTCCTCAAAATGATCAATAATTGGGATGATAGCAATTGCAACTGACGCTATGGTTAATAACACAGTCGCTCCTAAGATTTGAACCCTTCTTCTGTTTGTCACTTTGCCATGTGTCCTCTTTATATCACACACCACGTACAGTCGGCAAATACTGAGTGCAGTCATGGCAAATAGAGATACTTGAGTCCCGATAGTACTTAGGACGCCCATAGTTGAGCACTGGTAGCTTGTGATCCACTTAATCTGTTCCTTACAGTAACTCTTCTTAAAGATGATCCCATCATAGATTGATATGGCAAATAGATAGCAACCAACTAAGATGTCTCCGAATGAAATAAGAATGATCAGCGATTTGTTCACCAACACTACGGAATTTTTACAGTGTCCTAAACTACCGAGGTTGTTCATGATTACGATTATGTTCGCCAAGATGGCTAGAGACCCTATTGTCCAGGATGCAACCTTCAAAGTGTTACTTTCTAGTATTTGCCTTGAACACTGATCATTACATTCATCAGACAAATCCATACAATCAACCTGTCCATCACATCGGCTTGTTTTTGGAAGGTAACGACCAGATTCATTGCATTTAAAATGGTTGGTGCAAGTCCTCTCATCAGAGCTGTCCCCACAGTCATCAACTAGATTGCACACTTGAGCGTAGTCTATACATTTTATTTTGTTGTCACATACAAAATACCTATTCGTGTAGACATCTCCGAAGGATTTCGTGAAAAATGCAAGGTATTCATTGCTTGCTATTGTACCTATTCTAGCTGGGTACTGATCAGGACATACTTCGTATCTGGGGATGTTTCTCAATGGACAAATAGAATTGGTACACCTGTCTGTACAACTTGTGTACACATATTGTTCTCCAAACATGTGGTCACAATTTTCAGATTTATTTGGGTAGATCAAAGCGGTTTTTGCTTGGACTCCAAAGAAATCATGGTTTGGAAATATAAAGTCTTCGTTAGCGCAGCCGCCTGTTAAATTATGCAAATCTAAAAGACCTTTAACGCAATACGATAAAAGTTTAGTGAGACTTCTATCAGTGGTGAGCACTGTTGTTGTTATTAATGATGAGCTGAGACGTTCAGAGCATATTTCATTCTCGTTTCCACAAGATTCAACACCGTCGCAAAGATAACTCAGTTCAACAAAACCAGGATCACCCCATGGACAAAGGAACACGTTCTCGCAGTCTTCATTGCTAGTTACAAATCGTTTTGTCTTTCCTTGTCCACAAGTAGGCCAGATAGGGATTTCGTCGGTTCCATCAATACAATCTTGCACGCCATCTCCTAGCCATGCAAGAGGCAAAGATACTTCCTTGTCCGACCCTACTCGTCTCTTACATTTCCTTTGTGTCGTTGAATTACATATGAGTTGCGTTTCGTCACTTGAATCGTCGCAGTCGGGATCCCCATCACACATGCGGTGTTTGTGTATAGAACACGTTTTTGATGGATTTAAACAGTTATTTTCAATGTTATCATCACATGTCTTTTCACCATAGCAAATCATGTACTTGGAAACAGTGGACATGTATCCTTTCACAAGACAACTCACCCCCACTCTGGCTGAATCAGAACAGTTCGTTTGATCCCAGGCAAAATCTCCGCAGTAACGTGACCAGTCATTAAAAAAGGCTGCACATCTTGTGATATCGAGAACCGGAACAGTTTCCTTCGAATACCTATGCTTGCAAGTAGTTTGGGTTTCGCTTGTTATTGTGCAGTTGGCCGAATCCTCTTTTTCACGACAAAACGTACGATTCTCCCAACAAAGCCCGGTTGGTTGGCGATAATTGACCTTTTCTTCATAGGCTTCGTGATCACAGTACAGACCATAAGTGAAACCATTACAACTGGCTTCATCTTCGCAATTAATTTCATCACAAATATCATCACAAATGATTCCTGATGGCACTTTCTTCCCACTTTTTAGTTCTGTCATGTTGGTTTCCGAGCAGCCTGTTTCATCTAGGTCAGTGTTGTTGCAGTCCGGTATGTCATTACATAAACTATCATTGTTTTTGAGAAGATTCGTCGTCCAGATGCTATTAAAATCTGTTTTGCAAAGATAGTTACCACAAAGAAGGTCGCTGTTTGAAAACTCCATTCCAGCTAACGTTATATCACAAGCTTGATAAAAGAGTGTGTCATTTGAGCAGAGGCTCCCTGAAAAGAGCACTCCTTGGGGATTGGCTTGTTTCTTATAAAATTCTGTAGAGTGAGGACACTTTATCCAAGTGTCGTTGCAGACGAACTGCAGGAATCCGTGATATTCTTCTATATTGCACGTATCTGAAGATAAGGGGTCGTTTACATATAACGTAATAATTTTTTGGAACATTTTTACACCCCCCCCCCCCTCCGTAATCAGTTTTACACATAGCTATTGTGTCAAAATTACTCTAGCGTAATCATTCGGAACCACCCCCCTCCCCCCCCCCCCCCCCTCCCCCCCTTCAGCTGATTACTTAATATGTGAACGACTCCTAAGGTGATATTATTTTTGGCAATATTCTAAAACGAAATCATTCTAACATTCCTTTCAGAGCACACTACTAATTCTCCCTACTTTAGATACATTGGTTCCCTCACATGAACCTTTTGCTTGTTTTTCAACCTTCCACCAAAAAAGTCATAGTAAAAACATTGTTAACTTTTTATCTAAATAACCATAAAAACTGCGCCCAATTTTTGTGAGCATGTTTTGCCATTTCCTTTTTTCTGATGAACAGTTTTAAAAAACAGTGCTAGAAAATAAAATATAAAGCCGGTTACCGTTTATTGGAGCGGCTGTTGTCACCATCCAATTGTCCGGTAATGTTGGTGTTACTGTTGTTACTGTTGATAAGTTCTCCAGCTGGGGGCTCGTTAAAGAAAACACTAGTTGAAAAGTCGCCGACAAAAGCAAAAGCAGTAAACATATTCGTAGTGAACAGGGCATGTTGTACCACTACAAAACTACGAAACAGAGTAAAGTATTCAGCGAAAGAAGTGAGAGCTAAAGCGAGCTTGTCTATGTTTCTTTGTGGAAGAATGTTTATTCGAATCACTATAAATTGTAAAACAAAGGACTTTTTAATTCTGGTAAATTCCGAGAAGAAAAGAAATCCAAATCTGGCGCCGCTCTATAAATGCATAGGCTGGAGTTATCCGAGTATTCAGATTTGTTATTCTTCAACCTGTTTAAGCGGCCACCCACAAATCACAAACGGTTAGATGCTCGCTGCATAAGCAGCTCTAAATCACATAATCGGCACAGATTATGTAGGCATTACACTGCTGGGCTCTCTACAATCCTCACGTTGTGGTTCATTTTGTAGAGTGACGTCACAACCCATTATACAATACACATTACACAAGCACTAACATTATTGAGGAGAATCAGATGTGAACTATTCTAGTGGATCACATTTACAGAAATGGACCACGATTAGGACTATTTAGGTTTAGACTAATTTGTTTTTAGTTACAAAAAGATTTATTTGTAAAGCCTTCTGTTGATATTACTGGGATGTAGCCGAGACGCCGATAGCATTTTGTTTTAAAATGAGTCAAGTGAGCGAAAAAGGAAACATATTGTAAAGCCTATACGTAACTAATAAATATTCCGCTATTGAATATATATTGAAGCGAAAATGGATAAACCTTTTATCTGTGTATTTTAATCGCTTTTTACTTCAGGCCCATCTCCTAACGAGTGATAAGTACGCTGTGTCCCTCATCCTTAATAAGATTCAAGGAACCGTTCTGAAGAAAGAACTAGCTATACTCTACGGCAAGCTTCAGGTTAGTCTGCACTTCGCTCAGTCGTTATTGACTTGAAGATTAAAACCTAGAAATATTAGATATAAACGACTTTAAATCCCTTCTCAAAACTCATTGACAGTGTTCTACACACCCCACTATTTTACGTATGACATAATTCCCACTATTTTCTAAACATGCCCCTACACCAGGAGCACGACAAAGCACTAAAAGTGCTAGTATACGATGTCCACGACCTGCAGAGCGCTGAGGAGTATTGCAGGGAGTGGCCCACGGGCCGGAAGGAGCTACATCTTCTCCTCCTCAACATCTACCTGAACTGCGACAAGCCCGACCAACAAGACACTCTCCTGGAGCGAGCAGTGGAGTTCCTCAACGACCGGCTATCTGTCTTCAACTACTCTGAAGTTTACAAGATAATACCCAGAGACTGGCCGATATCTCTGATAGAACCGTTTGTGTACAGATCCCTAGGGTGCCAGGCTCACCACTACCGGACTAGCAGGATAGTTAAAGGGTTAAGTGAGTTGGAGTGGGCGAGTGTGAGGGCTGTGAAGGTTGGGTACACTAGGAGAACTGTAAAGATAACTGATGGTACTTACTGCGCCTTCTGTTTCCACCCCTTCTCTGATAGTAACTGTAGCGTTGCTACTAACGGGGAGGTCTATCACACTCAATGTATTTCTCAAATCACGTGACAGCTGTTATGTTGTATTTCTCAAATCACGTGACAGCTGTTATGTTGTATTTCTCAAATCACGTGACAGCTGTTATGTTGTATTTCTCAAATCACGTGACAGCTGTTATGTTGTATTTCTCAAATCACGTGACAGCTGTTATGTTGTATTTCTCAAATCACGTGACAGCTGTTATGTTGTATTTCTCAAATCACGTGACAGCTGTTATGTTGTATTTCTCAAATCACGTGACAGCTGTTATGTTGTATTTCTCAAATCACGTGACAGCTGTTATGTTGTATTTCTCAAATCACGTGACAGCTGTTATGTTGTATTTCTCAAATCACGTGACAGCTGTTATGTTGTATTTCTCAAATCACGTGACAGCTGTTATGTTGCGCGGTTTGTGTCGGCCATTTTGTTCTTGGGCTGAATGGTAGACTTACCATTCAGCCCAAGAACAAACTTAGACTTCGAGTATTTCATATTTGCACTAAATAATTATTGTCACATTCGCCATTTCTATAGTTGGTAGATTAGGTTATTGTAATTTTAATTTTAATATTGCATCTTTTTAGATTGTAAGGGCTGCTAATAATTTCCTGTTAACACTGTTCCAGGCTCAGTTTAGTCAGAGTATTTTCCTACAATTAATGCTGCAAAATGCACATGGATCATTAAAAAAGTTTTACAAAAGCCGATAACTTGTACAATATACATGTTTATATTGATACCAAACTACAATACTACTTTCAATATTTCTAACAATCTAACTAATAACTATACATAAGATTTAGATTGCGATGCCATAGACACTAGACAGATATGGAATTAGATTATCTTAAACGGATATGATTCTAAAATGATATTGTTCATAGTTTGATTGTTTTTACGAGAGTGTACCAAGAAAACTGCCACACAGTATTGATGACTTCTGCCTTTTATTTTATGTATCGTTTTATATGTTGTACAATATGGATGTTATATACCGTGCAAAGAGCTGTGAAACTGTGTCAACGTGAATTTGAATTAAAAAAATGTTTCTATCAGCAAGCTAGGGCAGGAAATTGATGTATGTTTGATAACCGTGCTGATACTGTTCTTTGGTGTTAAGATATTTGAGAACTCACTACTCAGGTTAATAACCTGAAACGGCTTTGATTTTTGTAATTTTAATAACTATTATTGGTGTGTCTATTGATAGTAATTCATTTAATTATGTCAAATATGGTAAAAACTCCGATTTCACTTGAAATATAGTTTAAACGTGACTTTCATTTATCATTATTATTTACTTTCATATCATATGTGCTCTGCGATGAACTCTGATATGTATTATCACCGAGCGTGCTAAATCACTCTACAGTCGATCTTCGAGATTGTTCTAAAAGGGCCCCCGACGGTTGTAACCAACTTCAATAGATGTATTTTCGGACGCTGATTCCGAATCACCCCCCATGACATAGGGTTAAAATGCTCCCCTGACGAGATATTGGCGAAAAACTGTCTTGATCACGTGATATGACCGTATAAGGAAGTTAGTCTAATTTCTCGTTAGGGTTAGGGTTTCAGTATATGCTTTTGTTAAGGATTGGGTTAGGGTTAGGGTTGGGATCAGATAAGAGGGTTAGGGTTTCGAATAGTCGTTCAGGACCAGCTAGAGAACGGGTTGGAAAAGTCACGTGACAGTCGAGTGTAGAGTGATTAATTATCATCCTATTATCAGCGATCAAATCAATTACCTGTGGACCCCAGGCTTTAATGTTGGTAAACAACCGAATAGAGATTAGGCGGAATGACAGGCTGAGCGCGGCCCAGTAAAACCAGTATAAATTATAAATTATATTTCCTATTAATAATTATAAACTTACGTTACAGATTTTTTCTAAAATTGAATATCAAATACAAAATGTTGTATACGACTCATAAACAATACTCCAATCCGGATTTTACACAAAATGTTGGTTTTACTGGAAATAATAATAACATCAAATTTATGCTTTACCTTTATTGGGCCGCGTTGATTCACGATGTCAATCCTTCGCAGCTCGGTGAGGCACAGTGGTGCATCTCGCCGATCTACCGAATCATTATTTGATGCGCGCGCGACCCAGTAGTGCATCGCGCTACAATGGGCCGCGCTCAGCCGGTCATTCCGCCTAATCTCTATTGTTTAACATCATTAAAGCCTGGGGTCCTCAGGTAAGCTTTACCTATACTGGGGACCTCAGGCTATCATGTTCGAAAACATAAAATAGAGATTAGGCGGAATGACAGGCTGAGTACAGTGCGGCCCAGTAAATTTATGCTATGATTTATTTGTTTAATTTTTAATACTTTGTAATTTGATCCCGACAAATATTTGTATTACATTAAAGTCACAATAATTAAATTGTAGTACTGAACAATTTATAATATTAACTGTTAACAGTGATACAATGTAAACATTTCTTTCAAGTTAATTTACTCTATATTAACGGGTGATACTTTTTAGGTTTATAACCTACCAAGACGTGCGCTGAGTTGAAACAAATATTTTGATATTGTGATACTCGTAAAATATTTGTTCCAAATATAAAACCGTCGACGCGTAGCACTTGCCATCGGGCATTTCGAGAAGAAAGCGGCGCGCGCTACTTCGAAGAAATTTAGACGAGTAACATCCGTCAACCCAAAACCCGCCGCGCACGAGTGCGCGGCTCCTGTATCGTAGAAACGCTATACAGTGAAACGACAATGGGGTCACATACACAACGTGATACAAAGGACCCCAGGCTATAATGTTCATAATTATAAATATAAAGATCTTAACGGGTGATACTCGTAAAATATTTGTTTCAAAAGACCGTCGACGAGTCCAACTCGGCGCCTGTCTTGGTTATTCTTATTAGGTTATAAACTTACAATATATATAGGTTATAAACCTACAATAAAGATCAAAACAGGCTGAGTAGAGATGATCAGAGACAAGAGAGCCGCCCAGTAATTTCAAATATTGAAAATTAAATGTCCATGTCGATAAATTACGAAGCAACTCCGCGCCGCGCGCATTTTAATTACTATTAGTTACAGACCCACAACAAATATGAAATATATATTGAATTGCGTGCCCAATATTGATGGCTTTAACCAAAAACTAAAGCCCTTTCACGCCATATACTTTCTGAAAACAAGCGCGTAACGTCCTTTTTTATATAGACACGACATGGGTGGATAAAGTTATATTTGATTACCAATTCGTGTCGATCGAGAAAATTAAAAACCATATTTTAGAGATTTTAAGAGATTCGGTGGAATGACACTGACAGGCTGAGCACCGCCCAGCGCTCAAATCACAAATTATACATGAGAGCGTAGTTTCACTTTTAGTAAGCTTCGATTTTTCTGCTCTCAGATGTTAGAGCTGGATATTGATGATAGTCATAAAGCTATTCAATTGATTTGGTTACTGGGCCGCGCTCAGCCTGTCATTCCGCCTAATCTCTATTCAATTTTAGAAAAAATCTGTAACGTAAGTTTATAATTATTAATATGAATTATAATTTATAATTTATACTGGTTATGATTAGTAGTGTACAAAATCAATATTATTTTATGATTGTGAGATCACATATTATTGATCATAATAATAAGTATTTAGGCATATAATAAAGTGAATTAAATAATTTGTTAATGGTTTAAGTTTAAAAATTAGAATGTATATTTTCTACCCTAAAATAAATGATAACGAACAAACCATTTCACGTGAGAAATAAATTCATCATATTAGTTCGCGAAGCAAACGTTCTAATCTACTCGAACATGTAGCCGTTAAAGTTACATGTTATGTAGAATGTTTAAATTTGTTATTTTCGATCGCGATTTTCATTGCGGTAAACACAGACAACATACACAATATAATACACAATACAACATTTATAAGAAGGCTCAAAATGTAATCAGTGATGAAATAAAGTAGTCGGCAGATCCTGCATGTTCACTGATGTTCTTGATCATGCCCATGGCCATATTTACCAAATGATAATACTTAGTTCGTGTGTTTGTATTTGTAGGAAAATGTATTGCACTCTTCCAATAGCAACACTTGATTTGACTGTGCTCTGCCAATTGCATCACTTGATTTAGTTGAATGTACAGGGTGGGCCAAAAGTCAGTACTCATACGTGATAAGATGCGTTGAGTCTTATACCTCCGCCGTGTTTTATATTTGAGAGTTGTTGCTTTTGAGATGGCGTACTGTACCTACTTGTTCAAGGATTCCGTCGCCAAAATTTGAGAATTCGAATATTTTAGACCATGCCCATTCAATATTAAAACACTTATATTGTTCTCTCTGAACATGGTGGACGCTTAATTTTTTCAGAGACGGTAAATTATTAAATGTTGCATCTGATCTGAAAAATGATGTGAAACAGATTAGAAATGACGAAGTTATCAAGCATTTTGTGTATCTCGTTAGCAAAATTGATTGGGTGATCATGTGACACCGTGACACGACACCTTAATTGGGCAGCCTTAACGATTCCCATAATGTTTAACTTATATCACGTTGCGACCCCCACGGTCGTTTCACTATGGTGAAACTATGGTTTCACTATGGTGACGATACAGGGGGAGCCCCGCACTTTGTGTGCGGTGGGTCATACAACGTATGACAATGTTTAACGGGGTGGTTGACGGGGTCACCTTCTCATGTGATTAGGTAAGCCAATCACCTGATCACTCATAATGAATAAACTCGTTATGCTTCGTATTTGGTCATCTGAAAAGCTACAACTCTAATTTTTTCAGGACAAATGTAATTCGAATGGCCAAACACAATTCAATAAAATTTAGCTTGATCCGACTATCCAAACTTTAAAATAAATGCGAAAATGAACCTTCATTTGAAAAAAAAGAACACAAATATTTTTCGAGTTGGCAAATTCCTCGAACCAGATTCCAGAAAGAATTATTTCATTTGGGTACTCAGTGACTGAGCTATAAAATAGGCCAACGTATGGGTACTGACTTTTTGCCCACCCTGTATAATATATATATTATTTGAATGACCTTTTCCATTTAAATAAAACTGAGCTATGTTATCCTCCTGATTTCTGATTAATATTATAAAAATCAAATTAGTTACTTCAGCTCTATGATATCAGCTTGAGTTACAAAATTTATAAAAGAGTTCGTATGGACTCTAAAATAATAGTCTAATCCAGTTTACACCAGTTTTGAAATCAGATTTTCTGTATTTCTAATTTCACATAGACCAGCTTGATTTTTGAATGTTACTTTCTAAAAAAATTTTATAAGATCTAAAAGGCGGGACCATGTTGTTGTATTATTTGCAATAATATTTTTAAATAAGGTCCAATAAACAAATCTATGATACACATCAAGAAGTGAAAATTTTGAATTGAAGTTACAGTTATGTTTTTCTTGCTAGATTTTACAATCAATTATTAAAAATTTTAAATCCCAGGTAAAATGGATCAGTGCCTTCAGAGTCTTAGCAACTGTTATCAGGGATGTGAAGAAGAGATTAGTGAACTTGTTTATCAGATCAATAAAATGCTTGATGATAAGAAACTGGAATGGGAGTGTTCTTACAACGAACTTCTTCAAAGCCACAAGAAATTATCTGTAGACTTAACTGGGTATAAAGTCGACATAGAAGATAAAAATGCTGAGATTATGGATCTGAGAAAGGAGATATCTGTCATTGATAGATCAAATTATGAAAAAAGAATGGTTCTTGAAGCAAAAATTTGTGAACTTTCTCAATCAGTTTCAGACCTTAAATCTCATTTGAAATCAAATCCAAAGTTTAACTCCTCGAATAATGATGACTCACTTGAGCTTGCGATATCAGCTTTGAAAAAAGAATGTGACTATTATCAAGACAAAATTGCAGAGCTAGAAGTTGTTCAAACCACCCATGTTGCTCAGATAAAATTATTGGAGGAACAACGATCTAGCATTTTGAAAAAGAACGAAGAATTGAAACAGAAATTTTCTAAATGTAGGAAAGAATATCATTCCAAAGTTAATGCGACTGACTGTGAATTGGATTCGTTGGCAAGGCAGAGGGATGAATATGAAGCTTCTATTAAAAAGTTAAAAGCAGCCTCCTCTGCAAAGGATGAGGAAATCATAAATATAAAGGATACTCTGGAAGAAGTTTTGTCCTCCAATCATAAAAACAACACACTTTTCTCTAACATGCAGAAAAAATTTGATGCAGTCACCAATGAAAAAGACTCTTTGATTGAAAAGCT